GACTTTTTATTTAATTTCTATTTTTTTTTTGGTAATAAAAAGTTGACTTTTTAATTTGAATTTGTCTTTTTTTTATTTATTGGTCTGAAAGGCATTTCAAAGGTATTATAATAATATATTGGTGTAATTTAATTGGTGCAACGTGCTTTCCGGCTCCAGTCAAAATTGGTTTTCACTCATTTGATTGGTTTGAGAACAGCCTTCGGGGACGAAAAAAAAAAAAAAAAGCTGGATAACCACCCAAAGTGTTTGTATTTTTCATTGGAAACTGATTTTTTTGTTTTGTTATTATTTTTTGGGTTGTTTCTGTTTTTATTTTTAAATTAAATAAATGGCAACCAACTGAACTGAGACTTGCTTCTTTATTTACTCGTCTTTCTCAGTCAAGGAAGTGACCGAGCGGGTGGAAGTCCTGGAAATCTACCCAGGAGGGCTCGGTTACCAAGGGGGAGCTTGTATTCAGAGTCCTCAGAAGGACTCGCAGCCCGCCACGTGCTGGAGCCAAAGCTGGAGAGCAGTGGGAGCCTGGAGGACTCGGTCCTCTCTCTCCTGCTCGTTCCACACCAGCTCTATTCTCCTTATTGTCAGACGACATCCAACCCTACCCTAGCACCAGCCGGAGAGAGTCATGCTCTGCTGGATCCGTGCAAGAAAAGTCTGGCCAAAGAAATGACAGCCCACGAGTCCTTTTCTGGTCTCCTGGAGGAACGTCAGATGAGCGTGGTCACACGTTTCACGTTTCTCCTCCCTGGTTGTGGGACCACCTTGACCTGCCCGATAACTTCCCAATTGACATCTTCTGGGTGATCGTTTCCAAGAGGGAGGAATGGCGGGGTTCCTTCAGTGTCATGGAAAGTTAACCACTTAGCCAGCGTGCTCCCGAGCTTCCCTGCCCACCCGCTCCCAAGCACCGTCCTCTTCTCCCAGGGCAGACGGATTGTTAACTCGATGGATCAGGGTCAAGAGCAGTGACTATGTCTTCTTAGAAGCGGCCACTGCTGTGCTTAGAATAGCGTCACCAGTCTCATTTCGCTGCCATTTCTTACATGAACAGACCCCCTAGAAAGTTCTTGGAAAGAATGAGCAGTAGGGTGAGATTGAGGAGTCCCTGGGGTCCTGGCCGTCCTATCAAACGGAACCAAATTCTACCCTGTACCAGGTGTGAGAGTCGTGCTCGGCACCAGGGGTGGTGTTTCCAGGTCTGTGCAAGCAAACTCTGACTTTGCAAAGAAATGACAGCTCATCTTCTGGAAGAGCCTCAGTCACAGCCAACAAAACTACAGGATGCCCAGTGACTTCTGAACTCCAGGTAAATCATGAATAATTTTTGAGGGATTTTTTTTAATTAGTGCATTTTAGTTAAACATAATATTGGGGTTCATTTAGACATAATTATACCTAGAATATCATTTGCTCTCATTCAGTCCCCAGAACTTCCCATTTCTCTGCTCTTCTCCCTTCGTTCCCTTTCTGCTAACCTTTCTTCTATTCATTTATAGTTGTTTAAAAATTACTGCATTATGGATATGCAAAAAGGCGAGATTCACCGTGGTGTATTCGTGTATGTACGTAGGAAAGCTGGGTCAGGTCATCCCACTATTCTTCCCTTTTCCCATCCCTCCTTCCTCTCTTTCATTTCCTTCTTCTAATCCACTGGTCTCCTATTTAATCATGAGTAATTTTTTAGTGTAAGTGTACCCCATCCCATATTTGGACCATGTTTATACTGAAAAAATTCATTACCTGAAATTCAGATTTTACAGGGTATCCCATATTGTATATGGCAAGCTAATCTGATGGAACTTCATTGGCTAAGTTGACCAGGTGCTGGGTATCATCAAGGATTGGGGAGAGGATGCTGATGATGGTGGCCTACTGGATCAGAACGTGTTGGTGCCTCTCATGGTGGGCTGCAATGGAAAGGTTCCAATTCCAGTCTGGACTTGACCTTACTGAGTTGAATTGCTGCAACTCCTTGGACCTCAGTTTTCTCAACTGTCCAATTAATTGTTCTCTTGCCAATTTCTAACAGGGCTCCTAAGGAATGAGAGAGTTTCTGTGAAGTTATCCATTAGATCTTGAGTCTAAAACTCATTATGAATGGGAAATAGTAATCCTCTTTGTTACTGGGCAATATGCATTGACTTTTTGACATTTACTTAAAGGCAACGTGTCTGATCTGCAGACTCTTAATTCTCGCTGCCATTATTACCTGGGCAGTCATTTGCGGAGGAAGGGGCTTAAAAATGAGACCCTTTGGAAAGACATAATTCTGCATCCAGACCAAGGGAACTGCTTGGGCTCAGCTCAGTGGCTGGACCAAATGGGAGGTATGAAGGTTAATAAGGGAATGGGGGTGACCACAGTGGCAGAGGTTGACATGTTGTCAACTGTTGGTGGAGTTAATGGACCGTGGTTACTTAAAGGAGGAAAATCGAGAGAACATTTACTGAACTTGATACTCACTGCATCTGTGGTGACAATTGGCAGGAACTCACTCAGACCATGTTAAGTACCAAGAGGAATTTCTGCTTCATAGAACTGAGAACTCCAAGAATTATGCCTCAGGCACAGCTGGATCCAGGGGCTCAAGGGAAGTCAAGAATGTCATCCGGAGTCAGGGGGTTCTTACTGTCCTAATTGTTATGGAACAAGGAAGGACTATGATTGGCTTTCCTTGGGTCACATGGCTCCTTCTGGCCCAGTCAGAGTCCAGGGGAAGAGGCACTCTGATTGGCCAATGTGGATCATGTGCCTACTATTTTATGGTGTACTTGAATGACATCTCCTTTAGAATCACACACGGGGAATGCAGATCCATCAAAGGGATGCAGAATGGACAAGGAATAACCCACGTCAATTACAAGTTTTTAGAGTTAATATACTCAACTATAAAACAGCATTAAGCAATCCTTAATTTTTAGAGTTACTACAGTGATTACATTAAGTAAAGTACAGGGCAGCGCCTGGTACATATAAGATTTTAAATATGGCTGACCCCAATGAAGACAGCAGTAGTAATACTACATAAAGTAGATATATTTGTTAGAAGGTCATCTATAAAATCATAAAATTCAACTGAAATTGGTTAAAACACTACCTGGGCTTTATTAATAAAGCTCATCTTGGGCTGGGGATGTGGCTCAAGCGGTAGCGCGCTTGCCTGGCATGCGTGTGGCCCGGGGTTCGATCCTCAGCACCACATACAAAACAAAGATGTTGTGTCCACCGATAACTAAAAAATAAATATTAGAATTCTCTCTCTCTCTCTCCCTCTCTCTCCCTGTCTCTTTAAAAAAAATAAAATAAAATAAAGCGCATCTACCTGGAATCCTAAAGGTGGGATAGATTTCATGGTTACTAAGGTCTGGTGGGAGAAGTGCACAATAAACAAGTAAATGAATAAAATATCCCAAATCACATGTAGAAATAAGTGCTATGAAGGAAATTGTATGTGCCAAGGTCCTGGGGTCTTCAAAACACAGTTTTGCAGGGTTAATTTCTGGTTCGTTGGCATAGGAAAATCACAGTCCAGGGAGCATGGTGTTTTGTTAAACATGTGTGGCCACAGTCTAGTATGGTCT